AGCTACAAAGGCACAAGCCAAGACAATTCTTGCATGGGTAGCTGAAAGGGCACAAGCCCTTGGCCAAATTGCCTCCATCGGGACCATGGGTGGCGGTGCTCTAATAGTATCAAGGCAATTTCATATAATAACATAACATTCAGATAATTGGATGAGAACATTGATCTTGAGTCACTTTGTGATGAACCTGGGTAGTTAAGTTTGAGAAAATATCAATGTCGCATGAAACTTAGTAATGAATCCATTTTGGTCTATTTGTTCGAATGCATAGTTGATTACATCTTCGATTAAGGTGAAATCGGTTCATGTTTCTCACATGACATTCCAGCCTAATTGCTAACCCGAAATTAGCTAAGCACAAAGATTATACAGTGTGTTTAAACTACTCAACCTTAGTGCCTAGAAATGAAAGGTAGGATAAACTGTATACGTTGTACTCTACTTTCAAACCCTACCCGGACAAATCCAGCATGGTATCTTTCTTATCATTCCTTCCCAATACGAAATGTGCAATGCAATGAAGTCATGTTTGTCACGTTTATGTTGTTTTTGTGTTATACACGTTGTCTTAACGGGTCGTGTTGTGTTAAACTCGTTATCTTAATGAGTTATTAACAGATGATTTGATAACGACTCGATTTGTTAACGAGTTGCATCAACGTCGTTATCAACAATTTTAAGTGTGTGTAATTAGTTGCACCAAAATTTAAGTGTGTTGTTGAAAACACTTGAAAACATTTGTACCAAAAAAATACCTGTTAAAAAAATACCTCCTTATCTATAACAATTTTGGTCTACATTGCTACAATTTGTTCTTTCTCAAAGAAAACTTCGTTAAAACCAAAATTTATAATGTTTTAAAATTAGCTTAATCAACGTCGTAGATGTTTTTTTGTCTACTTATTAAAAAAATTATGTATGTTTCAGAAGTAAACATGTAATACTATTTAAAAGTTAAAATGTTACATACATTTTATTTACATTATTATACCGAAACATGATAGCAACATATAAAAAGACATAAGTGGACACGAATAATGCACTTCTGGTAAAAATAACACCACTCCATTCCAAAGTATAATAACTTGAGTGGCCTACATGGGATTTTTGTAGGTTTGTGCATATATGAGAATGTGGGTTCTAAGCTTGTCTCCCCTAACACAATTATAAAAATATAATTGTTCCTGTCATGTTAAAGCAGGGATGACAACGTGTCAGATCGAGTTCAAATGTGCCATTTTCATACTCGAACCTATTTATTTTCTTTGAATTTGAAATCTTAATAACCCTGAACGGATTTTTCTTGTAAATGAACTTGTCGAATAATGAATTTCTATCGAAAAACGGTTTTTCTCACTATGATATTTATATATTTGTTTATATTATTAAGCAAATACGGAATGTTAAATAAAAATAAGATTAACTAGATTACTATTATTAATGCAAGTGATAAAATGCATATAATAAAATAATATTAAATTATGTTATTGATAATTATAAGCATATAATTACTAGCACGAACTGTCATATTTAATAATGGATGACTATTGATAACTCGTTTCTCTATATATATAGGGATGTGCTATTCACATACCTTTTGATAATTTATATCCGTTGATCTTCTTTAATTCATCCGATCTAACAACCGAAAATTAAAAAAGTACGTGAGAAGTAAAATAGGGTGTGTGAATATCACATCTCTATATATAATATATATATATATATATATATATATATATATATATATATTGAATCCAAGTATGGGTTCGAGGCGGATACCACAATAACTATAATTGAATCCAAAATTGAAAATTTTATCCGGTAGTTACTCATAATCTCAAAATACCCAAAATTTAATTTTTAAAACCGAACCGTTCGAATTAGTTATCTGCGAGAATCGAGTTGACGGGTTAAATTGTCATCCCCAGTACTATATTATATAAGTACTTATGTCATCAATTCCATTTGTTACCTCAAAATATACGTACCTAAATCAAAAGCAAAGACTGTATTAAGTAAATTATAATTTCTTTTCTTTTCACTAATAGTAATGCAAAACTTTTTATCCCTTTGATTAAGTATAGGTGCTCAATAAATCAAAATAATTGATCTCCCCCTTTTGTACATTGTTTTCCAGCAAAGAGATCATGTTTTCATATAGTTGGTCCATAGACTGCTGCCACATTGTATATACGCTAAACATAATTAAAGAAAAAGAACAAAAATATTTAATTACATAATAAGGATGGGTAGGAAAGAGACACATCATGATCCGTACGGACCAATAAGGCTTAATCCCATTAATTAAATCTTTTAAATAACCACCATAGATGGTCTAGTAATCGAAAACGAATTTCATGCTCGTATTTTGCATAACACATCCTGAATTCGATTATTGACATGTATGAATTACATGATGAAGGCTAGAGAAATTGAGATGCCTCTGTAAGTTTTTTTAGTCCATGAAAAAATAGATCGACTGCCACCAACTAGTTTTTTGTTTTGGTTCTTATTTCTTTTTTCTCTCTCTACAATATGAAGTCCTGATTATTCAAATAGAAGGAGAGGGAAGGGGAAGAAAAAAAATATAGGGGAGGGAATTCTTGTTAATTTTGTTGGAGAATTTTTTTTTTTTTCTATCTCTTTTATATGCCCCTCAAGTCCTTGCTTCAAGCGAATTAATTAAATATAAATCACCCCCCAAAGGACACTTTATTTAAAGGCTGATCGGTTGGGAAGGTGAGTAAGTTCTCAACTCGACATTTGGGTGGTGGGAAAGGCCTTTTATTCTTGTACTTGATTTTTGGAGGAGAACTTGTTGGTGCTCTCCTTTTTGTGATGGATTCTAATTAGCACTAATCCTCCTGCTTAACTCTCAATTACAATTTTGCCATTTCAAAACAATAATTAATTAATGGGTTCTTCGTAAATATGCCTCTCAAAACTCAATTACATTTTAAAAACATTTAAAGTTTTTGTTCTAACGCATCTATAAATCTTGTTATCAATCAACGACGATGAGCAGAACTATCACATCCTAGACCTGCTCTGCTGTAGCAAGATATTGTTCGCTTTGGGCTTACCATTTCTTCACGGTTTTGTTTCTGGGAACTCACGAGCAACTTCCCAATGGGTAACCCATCATGGGATTGCTCTCGCCCGAACTCACTTAACTTCGGAGTTGTAATATCCCACATTGACCAACGGAGAGGGGGTGATGTGCCTTATATGTACATGCCCACCTCCTATAGCACGAGGCATTTTGGAAACTTACTGGCTTCGGATTCCATCGGAACTCTAAAGTTAAGCGAGTTCGGACGAGAGCAATCTCAGGATGGGTGACCCACTAGGAAGTTTTCGTCTGAGTTCCTAGAAACAAAACCGTGAGGGTGTGGCCGGAGCCCAAAACGGACAATATCGTGTTACAACGGAGTTGATATGGGATGTGATAAGAACATTCAAACCAATCACAAGAAAATGCCAAACCAACAAAAGCAAATGTCAAAAAACACAAATCATGAACAATTGTTATTGCACTACATATGAAATCATTTTTATTTCTAGAATTTAATTTCGTAAGTGTTTCTTTATGAACTTTTATCTCTTGGTATATATTTTTCCCTCAGTTTGTAAATTTAAAACTTGGTAGATTCTCATTGATTTCAAATTATGCAATCACATTGTACTCTAATAACACAATATTTAATTTATTGGGTACAAATATTCAATGCTGAAACTTTTACCACCAGTTAAAATAACTGCAAAAACAATCTGGTAAAATTAACTTATTTCTCACTTTTTTCCATGCTTTAATTTGTTTCAATTTTGACATTGGTGGATCGTTTGAATGGTAGTTACAAGAGAGTATGATTTTCTCCTCTCTCTTTTCCCTCCTCTTTCCTCTCCTTCTATTTGAATACTTACGATTAAGACACGTCAACATCTTGTGATGAATTCTTAGAGAAAGATAAAGTGGAAAGTGTGAGAGAAGGAGAGGGAAGGAAAGGGAATTGGAGGGAGAGAATCTAGTCCGACCGGAGGGATACTAAAATGTTTCTATGAGTCATTTTTATTTTGGCAGGAAAAATAAATTGCCATAACGAAACTACCCGTTGGTCTTAAAAAAAAAAAAGTTTTCAAAGTCAAATATGTGGAGGCAAATTAACTTGTTTCTGATTAGATGACAACTAATGTCGGTGGTGGCTGAAAATTGAGGCAGATTTTATTAAATTAGGGGATCTAAAGAAGTCTGATTTTAATTGGGAATTAACTTTTTTTGGTAAAATAATGGATCTTTGCAGCCTGAATTTGTACAGTTAAGACTGTTAAGTCATAACATGGGCTGCACTGTGCACTCCAATAATGGGAATCCATGTTATCTTGAACAGATTATACATATAAGAAATAAATAAAAAGATATTTAAAGTCTTTCTTTCTAATTTACTGTATTTCGACAAATTTTTTTTTGTTTTTCGAATTTACATTGAATTACAATTAGCAATCATCAATTCATGCATGAACGATGTTTGTTAACTTTTGCTTTGTCTGACTGTTTGTTGATTGCTAACCATTTATACATGTGGGTGTTATACTAAGGTCTACACTGAGTTTGGCCAACTATCATCATGCGTGCATGAGTCACGTTCATCCGCTTTTGCCTTCTTAATTGCCTACTAGTTGCTATTAATTAACTACATATGACGGAAATTTTAAAATACTGAAAAGTTTGACAATATTCACTAGATTATCAACAACATATTAATAGATTTGATCTTATTGTTTAGTTCAAACTCTTCACCCCTCCAAATGAAAGAAAATACAAAATATATTTAGTCGTCCATTTTCTAATTTTCTTGTCGGAATTTATAATTAGAAAAAAATAATAATAATAAAATTAACAAACAAAGAGGGTAATGGCATAGAGGTAAAAAGGAAAGAGCATAAGGGGTAAAAGGGAGAGAAAGATAATATATATCTATAAAGTGGAGAGAACGGCGCTGTGTGCTGTCTTTTCCCGATAAGCCCGGTGGTTTGCTCAAATGGGGAAGAAGCAAACAACTCTCTCTCTCCTCTTCCATCTCTCTCCTCTTCTTCTTTCACTGCTCACTTCTTCTGCTACTTAACCCTCTCAAGCCCCACTTTCCATTTTTCAGTTTTGAAACCTCTCCCCTCCGCTTTCCATCAATTTCCCACATTTTCTCTGATTATTTTCTTACCCGCCAAACATCAACCCTAACTCGCTCCCACCTCCCGACCCCTCTCGAATTCTCAGCTCACAAACACATATCCAGCTTCTGTGAGTCTGTTTCTCACTCAATTTTTCAACTTTCTGCAGATAAAGCTCAAATCTGTTTACTTTTTGTTTCTGGGTTCTTTGGTTAGGCCAGTTAGTGGTGCTTTTCTGGTTTCAGGAAGTCTGGATTTGTATGCCAAGGGTAGTCCTTGCAACTTGGGAGGTTCTTAGGTCATCTCATCAGTCTAATTTTCTTGATTCAGCTTAAATTTTGCATTTTTAATTGTAATTAGTGTTAATTAGGTTGTCATTAATACGGGGTTTGAGATTGGAGGCAATGGGAGGGATAAAGTATCAACATTTTGTCTTGATTTGACGGATTTTTTGCAGCAAATGAACTGATCCCATCAAGTTTAAATGCGCAGATCTGTGAGCTTGCGTGCTCCAAATCTCAAACTGCTCATGAATCTGCAGACAAAGAATCACACTGCTCCATTTCTGCTGTCTTTACATTTGTTTAAGTTTTAACAATCAGAGAGAGCTTGACATCTGTCTGTCCCAATCAAAACGCACAACATTATTCAAGGTTTTAATTTTCCCATTTTTTATTTAAGCTACCAATTATCATTTCTTCTAGTTTTTAATTGTTTAATATATATAGAGGAGAGCAAGAACATGCCTGGCATTTTTAGGGCACAGGAAAAAAATTGTGTGAAATTTACTGCTGCTGCTTGAATCTAAAGCAGAAAAGGGATTACATACTAATTATACTTTTTTTGGTTTCTAAATTGGTTATATTGAAAAGTTCATCTTCTTTAAAAACCCTTTTGTTAGGTTTAGGCATTTAACTTTTATTAGCTTGAGATCTCTGAAAGCTGGTTTTTTTAGTGTAAATATGTACTGTATTTAGGCATCTGATCAGCTGTTTTTACTTGCTTTTGTGTTATGTGTATTTTGGGAAAATTTTCTTCGTTTTTCTTTTCATTTATTGAATTAAAAATGGAAATGAAATATCAAAATTACTGCTGGTGGTTTTTTGCAGAGCTGAGAGACTGTGAAGAGTAAAACTGTGCAGGCTTTGGTTTGCTGCTTTTGAAAGCACACTGCGGGAACTGCAAAAAGCTTGAGAGAGAGAGAGAGAGAGAGAGAGTAGAGAGAGAGCCTCTCTCTCCTGACTTAGACCGTGATATATCAGCAGCGTGAAAAAGGCCTTTTTATCACTACACAGCCAAAGTACCCTCTGAGTTATCGTCATCAATGCATAGGACACTGCAACCCCACCTCCTCCTGCACTCCTCCTCCCCTTCTTTCTCTCTCTAAAACCGCTCTCTCCCTCCCCCAAATTCAACCCCTTTCTCCCTCTCTCTCTCCTCCCCTTTCTCTCTCTAGAAAGAGCTAAGTGGTGAAAAGGATAAGAAGCCAGCAAAGCAGAACAGCACAAGTGCCCAAATTGAATGAGTCTTTATGTGAGAAAGGCATGAAACTACTGCTATGGAGGTGGAGGAGATTCAAGCCAGCAACAAGTTCCCAAGAATCGGAAATGGCAGCAGCAGAGATCACAAGCCATCACCCGAAGACGAAGACAATCAAGACCCATCATGCCTAGACCTCAAGAGGGCTGCCGCTGCCACCGCCGCAGCTGATGCGGGCAACCGTCTCCGTGGGTGGCACCACTCCCGCATCATCCGCGTTTCCAGAGCATCCGGCGGCAAAGATCGGCACAGCAAGGTGTGGACTTCAAAAGGGTTGAGAGACCGGAGGGTCCGCTTGTCTGTAACCACCGCTATTCAGTTCTATGATCTCCAAGATCGGTTGGGTTACGACCAGCCCAGCAAAGCAGTTGAGTGGCTGATCAAAGCCGCTGCCGATGCCATCGCTGAGCTCCCTTCTCTGAACAATTCTTCGTTCCCCGACACGCCGAAGCAGCTCAGCGACGAGAAGAGGGCGAGCTGCGAGCGAGGCGGATTTGATTCGGCGGAGATTGAGTTCGATCAGAATTACCACCAGAATCAGAGCCAGCCCGGGAATCAAAGCCAGCACCTTTCGTTGTCGAAATCTGCTTGCTCGAGTACTTCCGAGACCAGCAAGGGATCGGGGCTTTCCCTCTCCCGGTCGGAGATTCGGGTGAACCGGTCGAAGGCCCGGGAGCGAGCGAGGGAGAGAGCCGCTAAGGACAAAGAGAAAGAGAGCATCGAGTCAACTTACCCAGGGAACATAAACAACATATCCCAACAAAATGGTTCTTTCACTGAGCTTCTCACTGCCGGCATCGGCAACATTCACAACAACAATTCTCCGACCGCATCTGCTCAGCATCATCAGCAGAATCATGGTGGCGGCGGCGAGCCCATTTTGTTCCACAAGGCAGCAGCACCGATGGATTACTTCAGCCCCGGGCTTCTGGGGCTGTCGTCTTCGGCCCGGACCCATCACTCGTCCGGATTCTCCGGACAAATCCATCTGGGGATGAACTCGATTCCGCAGACAATGTCGGTTGTCTCCCCGTTCAATGTGTCCGGGGAACATCACCACGGACATCACAGTTCGGAGCTTCAGCATTTCTCATTTGTTCCCGACCTCATCCCGGTCACTACTTCGTCGCAACCGGGCAGTGGCGTTGACTACAACCTGAATTTTTCGATCTCTTCTTCCGGCGGCCTTGCTGGTTTCAATAGGGGGACCCTTCAGTCCAATTCTTCCTCTTCACCGTCTCTTTTGCCTCATCACCTTCAGAGGTTTTCTCCCATAGACGGATCGTCCAATGTACCCTTCTTCATCGGAGCTGCCGCGGCTGCGGCTTCTCCAACCATGGAGAATCACCACCACCACCACCACCATCAGCAGCACCAGCAGCAATTCCCTGGTGGATTTGATCGCCGCTTGCAGCAGCTCTACGGTGACGGAACCCGGCATTCAGACCACAAGGGCAAGGCAAAGAACTGATCTTTTTCAACGATCAATACTTGATAGCCCATCTAAGCTTCTTTCTGGTAAACCTTCAACGATCTGATTTTTTATTATCTTTTCTTTTCTTTTCTTTTCTTTTCTTTTTCTCTACATATAATATACATTTTCTGCTTCTTTTCTTTGCATTGGTTGCTTGCTTCTCTATTTCTGTGCTTGTTTTTGCCTCATATATATATGTGTGTGTGTGTGTCTACATAACCCTATTTATACTATCTTTTTATAGCATTATTGATATATAATTGTTAATTTGTTTATAATTTTGCATAGAAGTAGGGTTTGCTTGCTTTTCTTGGTAATCATAAACAAGTGAAGGAATCGGGTAAAGGGTTTCATGGAGATTTTAAAATATATTGTTGTCTGTCTGCTTTTGATTCCTGCATGGATTGGAGTGAATGGGGGGATCGGCTGGTTGTCTCCTCGTTTGTTCTCTTGTTTTGGTTCCCTTCTCTCTTAGCATATGAGGTCCTCCATGGAGGCTTGACAGGTGTTGGCAATCACTTGGCTCAGGCCATGTCGTTTGTCACTCGGAGGAGGCTTTGCTTTTCTGGTTAGCTTTAGGATACTTAATTTGGGAACTGGATCCTCTCCTGAGCTCAGGATGGGGATCCTCCTGAGCAGCCCATCCGGGCCGTTGAATTTTGATCCAAAGGCTTCAAACAGGGGGCTCCTCTAAAAATTATAATAATTGCAGCCGTTGGATCAAGTTTGAACGGCCTGGATGGCTGCTCATGAGGATCCCCATCCTGAGCTCAGGAGAGGATCCAGTTCCCCTAATTTGTTGTTTTCTGCCCTTCCAAGCTGCACCACATGACAAACTGCTCAGTGGCCTGTCGGTCTTTGCTTGTAAATAATTTGGCAGGAGTTGTTGTCTTTTGCTAATTAGCATGGTGAATCGTATTGGAGAGCTAACTTTCAACTTTGTTTGCTTAGCATTTAGCATATAGCATATAGCAGTTAGCATGAGCCCTAACTAACTTTTTGGTTCCTTTTTATTAGGATCCCATGCACGTAGGCAAGCATTGGCATTAATAAACTAAGTTGCTTCAATCTGTTCTCTCTAAAATGTACAAGAAACATAAGAATACATGTATATATGGAAAAAGAATTTTAAAAAATAATTCCTATTTACAGAAAAATTGGAGCGATTTTGACACTCATTTTATGCGTTCGCAGGTCCTTGTATTTTTATGCTTTAGTTTTACTTTTTCTTTACTCAATTACCAAAACAAGAAAACAATGAGTGAAAATAGATAAAATAGGAGTGTATATGAAAATCAGACACCAAAGAGAAAAAAGAAAGGGTTTGAAATGGAGAAGAAATATGTTTAAGTCATAGATGTTATGGGAAAGGAGCAAAATATTTATAAAATAACAACTATATATGTTTTGTATAGAATTTTATTTAGTTTTAGTTGATTACATAAGGGTTAAAATGAATCATAAATTGGGTATGTTCTCGACTCTCTATCCTAAGTGATTAGATAGCAGTTAACTTAATCTAATAGTTGGGTATCTTGTAGTTTGTTTCTGGCTCAGAAGTATACCTCTATAAGTTGGTGTTTTATTAAAAGAGAAATGAAAAGTAGATTCTTTTAAAGTGGGACTCTTTATGGATTCTGTGTCATTTTACAGTTTAACGTTTATTTTCGTGACAGTATTATAAAACATGGTGCCAACATATGAGGTGACAGAGAGTTTATAGGGAGTCCCACTTCTGAGAGTCTCCTTAATATTTCTCTTATTATAAAAGACCTAGGTGTTATTTGTAGGGAAAATAGACTTTTAATTTATAGATTGTTGTGATATGTTTCTGTGTGATCACAGTTACCCATCTCTGGCTTGCATTGAGCCACACCACCACAACTCCAATTTAGTTAAAGCTCCTCAATTGCCATACGTATATTTTGAGTAATAATATACTTTTTCTCTTTTGGAATATTTACTAATCTGTTTATGTTAATGGGCAAGACGTTGTACAATGGCCCCCTTTAGGGTTTCCATATTTAAAAAAATTGGTGGCAGATTTGAAGAACTGCCATTAATGACAAAATTTCAAGAACTATAATACACATATTGCTCCTAGTAAAAAAATATAACATGATATAATGCTAGACTATCAATCTGAAAATAAGCCCCTCTTTAGTTTAGAATTTTCCAAAAACTGGAACTCGTTGATTTTCCAGCTTTAAGTTTTGCTTGCTTAGTTATTTCTTATCCTTTAGGTTCCTTCCTTTCAAAACACATTTCTTGAAATTAGTTGTGCGTAAATCTTTTTGCTCAACAATCCATGCAACCCAATTTGTTCTTTTCTTTCTTCCTCCTCTTTGTTTTGTTTTGTATAGTTTAGTGTCATAAGACTGGCAGTTGGAGGAAAGAGTTGAAGCATGTGTCTTTTTTTTCTTCTTCTTCTTCTTCAATACTTCTATTGATATTGCTAGTTAATTAAGTAATGCAGGAAGGCAAATATTTGCAGTTCTGTTCGTAGTTTAAACGAAACAGTTTCAAAAAAGGACTCTGTGAAAGGGTATTTATTTCATCTTTCCAGATTAAAGGATTAGGGTAAGAGGCAGACAGATAATAAAGATATAATTAGGCTTCATGGATATTATAATTTCTTAGTCGGATCGAGTTATCCTTGTAGTATTTCAAACCTAGTCCATTTCAGTAGTGATCAACCCTTGTAGTGTTTTTTAATGCTTCATAGTGTGCCTTTAAAAGTGCGGTCGAGATTTGGACTTTGAGACCTCGGATCATTTGCAGACTTAATCTTCGAGTTTTCCAACCGAGTATGTTCTTCATGTGCTAGATATTGCTTGTTACTGTGATTTAAAGGTGCTCACTGGTCAGGTCTTAGAAAATCTGTTGTCACCCTTAGTTCTTGTTGATTGCTTTTACTCCGCAGGGGAGATTTTTTTATTTTACCGGAACACGGCCTGATACATCACGTGACATAATATAAGTGGAGAGAAGTTTTTTATTCAAGTGTCCTTCCACTTAACATATGGGGCCGTGTTCCTGGTACACGGACGGATGTTAATGGTATTTGCATGCGGAGTCTCAATTTTCTTGCGATTTATACTGCTCAAATCATAATATCTTCTGTTCGACAAAAAAAAAAAAAAAAAATCATAATATCTTCTGCATTTTCCCATGAGTTTACTGCAGGATTTGTCCTTCACTTGTATTTAACTATAATTATTACCAATATCTTCAATTAGAATTATTTCTTTGGTTATTTATTAATTCATGCATGATAATTTCGATCATAAATACTTATGCAGGAAAGTGAAGTTAAACAAGCAATGGGAAAGCTGCGATGGAATTCATGTGCTTCTCTCTGCATATCGGATGATAACTTAATATTATAATCCTTCTGGAATTGTTGGTATTTCTGCTTTTAACCATTTTCCGTTTCTTTATTTTCGGATATATATATTTATTTGTCTGTGTTGGAGAAGATGTAACTGACAATTTGTTTGAAGTTATTTTCTTTTCTCCTTTTCTTGCTCTTCAAGTGATCTTGAATGTATTTGGTTTTGTTGAAGCTCAAGTTTGGACCAATAAGTTGACTAGGAAAATGTGCATGCATATACTTGACATGCTTGCTAAGTTGGTAATCTTTGATACGGGGTTAGGTCGGTTGGCCAAGATAGTGTTCCTGCTCCTTTGCACTCGAGGTCTTGCCCAACTTGTGCGCACATGATTTATACGCGTATCAAACATAAAATCTTGCTTGACGTAACTTGAAAGTTAGAGAAAGTGGTGGATTACTCTGGCAGATAGGATGTTCCTCTTCAATTTCTTTTAGTGATATTGCTGTTTGAACTTGAAATGCAAGTATTTTTTAGGAAAGTTTGCTGTTGAAATTCAATTTAGAGTGGGCCCAAAAATTTCCGAAGCGTATTACTTTAGCCCAATAGTTACAGAGGTGTATGAAGTAGGCCCAAAAGTAATAAGGCTTAAGCAACACTAACAAATAAATATATTTAATATTTTCCATAGGACGGACACACTTTCTTGACTAACTGCCACTTACACAATGCGTGCAGATTTGTATTGCCTGATACGCCATAAAAGCACGGGTTGATTAAAAAAACCGAAAATCAAAAGAAAAAAAAAATACTGAATACCAAAATCGAAGAAAAAAAAAAATACTGAATACCAAAATCGAAGGAAAAAAAAAAGAGGACAAAATTAGAAATATTAAACCGAACTGAATTATGTTGGTTTGGTTTAGGTTTCAGAATTTAAAAATCGAACCAAATCGAATCAAACTGAACCACAGAAACCCTTAAAACGATTGGGGGTCTGCTATTTATTTTGATTGCTATGGTTTTGAGGTTCTGAGATGGGAGCTGGGGAGTGTATTTAATAATAATGGTCTTAGTTCTTAGTTTCTATCTGGTGCGTCTTCTTTGTTCAGTTGTACCGGTTTGTTTTATTTTGTCAAACTGGTTGATGCAATCAATAACAAAAATCAATATGTTAATAGAGAAAATTTTTATATTCAAATGAGTTCAAAGGCGTCAAGCTCAAGCTCAAACTCAAAACACGTTATCTACTTCTTTTAAAAGGACCAACTTTCAGATTTGTTTTTTCGAAAAAATTAATAATAATTTTCAGCTTTAATAAAAGAAACCAAATGAAAGCGAATTGAATAGAACTGAAAGAACCAAAGAAAACCGAACTAAATAAGATTTTCAATTTTGACAAACAACCGAACCGACTAAAACCAAACTCACACTTACTTAAAAAGAACCTATGTACTAGCCCAAAAATCTGGTCACATGAATTAAGCCCAAAATATATAAGCATCAAGGCTTTTTAGGGCAAAATAATCTAAGAGTTAATAGTTGAAAGTACTTTTTCAGAAAAAGAAAAGATCCATACGTCCAAATGCAGTACTTGTACTTTTCAGAAAGCTTCTTCAAAGTACTTTCATTCTTTTGAGAGCACACACTCGAAGTAAGTTTTGCTTTCGCACATACAATTAAAGTTCATCCTCAACGTACCCAAACAATAATGCCTAAATATATTCATACGCAGAGTCTGTCGCAATGCCGTATTTTAGTATGAATCGAAGCATAGTATGCATTAAAAATTTTGGTTGGCGGATTCTTTGTCAATTTAAACATTACTTATATCAATTTTGGAAGAACAATAGAAAAACAAGAATTAGTACTACTACAATGAATGTCAATAATTAAAATCAACAAACCCTCCACCTGTTAGCAGGAAAATTCAAGGAGCATGTGTACTTCTTCAATTGTTGAAATTGATTATTGAGTTTCATGTTTTTATTTTCCAACCATACCGCTGGTTACAAAAACAATAAATTAGTAACAGCATGCGACAACATGACCATCACATCAAAACATTAAGATGAGTAGTTTTTCAGTAGGTGTCAATCTATAAGCATAGTTTTAAAAGAAAACTAATGAAAAGAACTTGAAAACTTTGAGTTTTAATCAAATCAAAAGGACTATGAGTGACTTTTTAGAGTAAAAATGTCATTTTCGTTAAAAGTAAACAGTACCGAAAATGTTTCATTAAAACTCTGTAGTTTTAATTGAGTGGAGCGTTTGGAGGGTGTTAGGTTTTGAGTCCAGGTTTTAATTTAAATCACGTGGATTGTGACTGTGTGGGTGTACAAAGCAAATAAATCTCATGTGATAATAAACAGATAAAGTGGAAGCACAACCAGCTCATATTTTTAAATTAAATCAAAATAAATTGAATTAAATAAATAATGTGGCTGGAAAAAGTTACCTGGAAACTTCCTAAACCCCTTTTTTTTTTCCCGCTTACGATATTCGAGAAATTCTGGAATTTATAGTCTTAACGAAATATTATCACGCGGTATTTTTTTCGTTGGTAATTTAGATGTTATAATATGATTAGAAGATATAGTTGATATATCACGAAATTGAAATATATAGGGAAAACGATACGCTGTTGCCTCCGACTCCCAGCCTACAAGGGCATTGAAGATGCGATTAAATACATCTATAACTTTGAAGTTGGAATATATTCCCAATAAACAATATAAATGTTTTACAGTGAAAGTTACTTTTCCCACTAAAATTTGTCACGATGGTGGCTGAATTCGATCTACAAGATGACGGTAGCAATACAACGAAGCTTGTGTATAGAGATTTATACGAATCTAGACCACAAATTCAGATCCCTTCCTTCTAATCCACCAAGATCATAAATTTGGACCTTTGAAAATTGATTCAACGATTAAAGTTATTATAACATTTAAGGTGAGCCCTTATTTGTAGCCGTTGGATCAAATTTCAAAGGTTTAGATTTGTGATCTTGGTGAATTAGGAAGAAAGAATCCCTTCCCAGTCAAAATATTATATCGCATTTTAAATAAAGACATGCTATTTTATGGGAAAGGAAATAAAAAAAACAAGGATTATATTGGTGCATGCAAGTTGAAATAAATAAGAACAAAACGACGATGGATGCCAATCTTTGAAGCATCTTTCCCTTTAGTAGGGCAGGGCAGGGGGCAGCCACGAATACTAATAATAGAATTGACTATTTTTTGCACGATTAGTTAATCTGATACGAAATGATATGAAAATAACAGATTTTGAATTATCGGTTACTAACCCGTTAAGAATCCGATAAAATATCGTTTGCCTGATCTAGACATTAGGTATGACAATGTCTTGCATGACATGTTAACTTGACACAAAACGACACGATCCGTTAACGAATTGGATCATTATAATACGAAAACGATACGAAGACAGCCTATTTGCGCAAACTAATAGGCATCTTTTTCATGCTTCATTTATCGCCTAATCTAATCACACAAAATTCAACCCACTTGGCACTTGAACAGAATTTTATTTGTGTAATTATTTTTAAACCACCTGCTGCTTCTATCTACCGGGAGACAAAGCATTTGTTCACGAGCCAAGAGAAGAAGATATTCCCTCTCTATTTGGGAGCCAGAAAGTGATGTTTTATTCCAAAATTAGTAGGTAATTTTTCACTAAACCAAGCTCTTGGTGATTGCAAAAATGGCAAAAATGGCTTTAATGTGATGAAATTGAAAAGCCAAGATACCTTTTAGGTTGAGTGAACGACACAGTCACGCAAAGACCATTTCCTGTTTCCTTTTTATCCTTGCCATCGCAAGTGCTTGCGAGATCCACAAAGCAAGTTCGGTCCACGGGAACTCGTCCTGCTTTGTGGGTCTCACAAACATGATACCCACAAAGGAGGATCGGTAGCCCGGAACTCATCCTCCTTTGTGGATCTCACAAACTGATCCTAGCACATAAATGGGAGAAGAAAAGGGAACAATTACTTCATTATCTCCATGGAAGTTCTCTCACAGAACATTCAAACGTTGCACCATTCGGACAGTTCCTGCTATCGATTCTATACCCGCAGTCATGAGAACGAAGCACATTTCTGTTATTTTCTACGAGGACGGAAACTTTGCATGGAAGTTGTCTTTGAAATGAACTTTTGACATACATCACATAACCAGAGAACAGTTTCATGATACCTACAATATTCACATACATTTGGAAGAAAGAAAGGTAAAACTAGATCACTGCAAACCCAAAATCTCTATAACATCAATCTTAGTTGCATGCGAGCACTCACTCTTACAAGCGTAATGCCCGAAACAGAAACATCCAGCAGATGCAGCAGCATTTTCAACTCTCAGCTCAAGCATACGAGAGTGGGGGATCTGCAGTGCATGTTCCGTCGGTGTATCTCCTCTTTCTGCGTCGTTCCAATCAAGATTCATTTCAACTGAGAGGCACCGCAGTTAACTTAGTCTTCCGATGAGGCAAAATTGTTCTCCCCTTCTCCACTTTCAATTATGCAGCTCCCCATTTTCCCTCGAAGGACACTGTTTCCCCTGTCAAAATCCCAAGTTGAACTAAATCAGTACCAAACCATGAATGAGTAATCACATGGAAACTTGTACATCAGCATTAAGCAATCATAGAGACAACCAGAGCGGAATAAGAAATCGGAAAACATACTCGTGCCAAAATTGCTACCTAACATAATGCATTCGATTGTTTATCCAAACTCTCATTCAATTATTTATCAAATGACATATGCTTCTAAGCTACTTTATAATTCATTGTCTTGGCAATCCAATACCTAATACAATTTAGAGTTTGGAACTTTGGACTGAGAGCAACATGCAGATCAACCCAATTCCCTGTAATACCATTAAATTTGGGAACTTTGGATTGCAAGCAAGAACAAGGACGAAATAAATGACTTCTGGTTCTAATGTACAGGAAATATTTGCCGAACATTTGAAGCCAACCAGTCATTGAATTGCAGCCAAAAGGCATTAAAACCTAAGCAATCATCCAATTCAATCCGAATCATTCATACACGAATACATTAACAGCAAATTTACCTGAGACACCTGAAATAGAATCAGAAGGAGTTCATCTCAAGACAGTATGTGCGCCTCTTGACCAGCATCTTGGCCGCCGTCCCGTACGGCTCTTCGAAGGCGGTCGAAATCCAGGACAGATCAGAGGAAACCTCCTTCTTGGCGGTCAGAGATTGCTCGCTGGGCCTTATAGCTACCAAAGTCGCACCCTTTAGCACGACCCCATCAGGCAATTCCAGCTGGGGAGCATACCAGAGCCGCATGTTCAGTGCCGGCACGAGCGTCCGCTTCGACGCCGAAGAGGCCGACAATGGCTTCACCCGCAACTCCTCGAGCTGGTCCCTGTTCATGTGCAACACCCCCTGACCATCGGCATCGGTCAGAACCAAGCTGTCTAGCGTTTTGTGCTCGGAAATGATTGGCTGAAGCAGGTAGTGCCTGGCTGAGGCGGCGATCAACGAGCTGATCGTCCACACAACCCTCAGCTTCAGGCCGCCGTTGGTGTAAAACGAGTCGGGTATGCTTCCGTTGTCTTCCGTCACGGCGGCGTTGTTGGTGGCGCACAACCCATCGGACCCAGTGTCCGGAAGGAGCGATGCTTTGGTGGGTCCCGGGTGGATGACTGAGGATGCGCCGAGGATGACGCAGTTGTCTAAGGTGGAGCCGAAATCGGCCCTCCACTTGAGCAAAACGCCGTCGTCGATGCCGAGCTCACCGCTGGGAAGCTCGATCCGGAGGAATCGAATCTCGTTGAAATTCTTCAAGACTTGGGTCGGGGAGTGGTGGGTGACGCCGGACTGGTCGAGGCTGTTGCTGTCGGCGGCGGAGGAATCTGGGTCATCGACGGAGAGAGCGGAGTGGGACCCATTCGGGGATCGCCGGTTGGGTCCCAGGAACTGCCCGAGCGCCTGCAGAGGCTTGACAATGCCGCCGAGGACGAGGCGGAAGAGGGCAGAGAAGGGGGCCCGGGACTTGTCGGAGGAGGAAGACGAGGAGGCGGAGGAGGGGGAGGAGTCGTCGTCGGAGATGACGCAGTCGACGCGGACGACGACGTTATCGACCTGGGGGACAAGGGAGTGGAAGCGGCGGGAAACGACGCAGCAGCGGCCGAGGGCCTTGACGTCGCCGATCTTGTTGAAGACGAGGAGGAGGAGGGAGTCCGGGAGGCGATCGAAGTGGTCGTCGTCGACGGAGGAGTAGGGTTCCGGGTAAACTCTAGAGGAGAAGGTCAGATCTGAGCGCACAGAGGACATCGTTTCGCTTGTGGATTCTGGGTCGGATTGAAACGGATAGGAAAGTTGGAAGAGATCAGATTGGGGTGGAGGTGCGTAGATCTGAGAGGGGAAACGCATGGCAGATTGCAGGTTGCAGAGAGGGATTTTAGAGAGAGAAAGAGAGAAAATCTTAGAGAGAGAGAGGGGGAGATGGGGGAAGAAATGGTAGGAGGAGGAGATATATCCAAGCTGATGGGTTAGGCTTGTTGTTCTGTCATTTTACGATGCGCAGAGTAGAGAGAGAGAGGATTGACAGAGAGAGACGCGGCACAATATTATGTTTCTTTGTAAAATATATTCTTACTTTTGTCTTCTACTTTGCTGGCTTTACCCTCCTTTTTCTCACCCTTTAACTTTGATTCCTTTCCCTCTTGGGTAAATTCTATTTGAGCTTATAATTTCGAGAAGAGATAAATTATTACAACTTTTAAGGAGTCAATACAAGTGGATCGTTAGATGAAATTTAAAAAGTTCGGATCATTTGATCCGGTAACCTTGATGATAGAGATCAAGAGAGGATCTCTTCTCTATGATTTCAAGTAATTCCCGGAAAACATATAATAGAAACTTGGGTCACCCACAATAACTTAAAACCTTATACTTATAAATAAAAAGAAATATCAAGTTTCGGTTGAGATCCATTAAACCATAATATTAAATAACAAAATACATTAATTTTAAGGGAACTTTAATGAAAAACTCCCAAAACTATTTACTTTAACGAAAAATCACATTTTTACACTAAAAAATCAATTATGGTGTTATTCACTTTACCTTTTATTTTGTCGTTATCGATAAACTCAAAGTTTTCAAACCATTTTCATTAGTTTTCTTTAATTTTAACTAAACAATCAAATCAGTTTTTTTCTTAATTATTTTGTATTTTTTTTTTAAACTCTATTTTGTTTACAAACTAGTACTATAGTCTTGTGAGATTCATTTGCATGTAAGAGGCGTGAGACTAGATTCAAATAGGTCAAATGAAACTTGAAATCGTCATTCGTAAATATCAAATATGAGATTTTTCTCTTACAAGTTGAGAAATTTATTGTTAACCTACTTTTGCTAATTAATATTTTTTTATCACATTTATGATAATTAAGTTGGCATCAATACATGAATAGCGAGTGATTGAATGTTGAGCGTTGGCATGACAACGTCTCTCTATAGGAGAAATATTAAAGAAACTCTCTTTTTATAGATTATTCGTCACTCCACAATTTAACGTTAATTTATTTCTCAATATTATAAGATATTGTACTAAAAACTTAAAATGACAGAAAGTATAAAAAATCTGATTTTTTTTTTTTTTTTAAATTCTCCTTAGCATTTCTCCGCTCCATAGACATAGCTGGCAATGCCAATTTTGGAGTTCGCCTGGGCATTGGCGTTGGCGTAGGACCGCTGCCGATAGAGCACCATGGTTCCGGGATGTAAGGGTTTATTTTTAAAAATTATTTTTGACATGAACCCATACTATTTAAAACATGAAATAGTGTAATAATTTGTTTTTCCTAAAAGGAATGGCAATATGTTAAGTGTAAAATGAGGAACTATTCTTTATTTCAATTTTTCTTATCAACGTTTACGCTTTGTTTTTCCTCTCATTCTTTTATAGACAATAATTGTGTCCTCTCAATTATAATTACTGTAAAAATTTTATAACTTAATTGGTAAAATATTAACCTGTACATTTGAGGTCTCGAGTTTTAATCCTTCCATCTTTAGGGGTGGTATTGGTACGATTACCGTATCAAAACTCATGTACCAATTACCATACCAAACTTTTGGTATGACAAAATTTATTACCGTTACAGTACCAAACTTTAAGTATACCCATGCTAAATAGTTCGATTGACATGAAATGGTAATGGTAATTACTACTTGGTTTTGAGCCAAAATTTGATTTTTTTTTCCAACCCAATTTAAGGCCCAAACGTGTTTTGGCCACTCCTTTTGGGTTTCTCAAACTTTTTTATTTAATTATGAGAATTTTATAGAGATTCATTTAAGAAACAAGAAGTATTTGATGAAAGAATTGCTGAAAGAACCCAATATCCCTAAAAAAAATAGTACAAAGATTCCTAAATTTCATCTCTACATTCTTTAAAATTGTACAAAAGTTAACTTGATAGACGAAGCCAGGGAGAAAGACATCCCAATTTGATGAAGGAGAAGATGAGATGGATTTCGAAGAGAGAGAGTCGCTGGAACTGGAGCAACAGAGATGAAATCAGTGGCTAGATGAGTGAAAAGATGAAGAGTCGCAGCGCAAGAAGGCTTAGGTTTTTTTATTCGGAAAGTAGAGGTTAGAGGGTAAGATGATTGAATAAATGACTAGGAAAAAAAATATATAATGTATATATAATGATAATAATACCTAATTATATATAAATGAATAAATAAATTATATAATATTAATAGTAGTGGTACGGTACGGTATACCACTAGTAATGGATTTGAACCATTACCAATGGTACAAATTTTTTGACACAACTTCAATATAGTATAGTTGGTATGATAATTTGGCAAAAAATTCCACCCATCCTAATGTCGATGGTAAACGAAAGCCACATGCATGTAAGAGACTAGCTGTGAGAGGACTGTGGAGAGATTTTTTTTCTTTTTTCTTTTTTTTTTGGGCTAGGGATCTTTTAGTTTAAGTACCGATTCGTACTAAAAAAAAGTATCAATTCTAAGAAAAGTTTTAGCTAATATAACTTGTTTTTAGTTTAGGTATCACTGAAAAAGTCAACCAAAATATACTGCTATAATTCAAAATAATGACATGATTGTCGCTCAAACATACCATGATAGAGGCAAAAGCCGGGGCCACGGGAGCTATACGTGTGGACAACGGGCCAACTTTTTCCTGCAACCAGTTGATCAAATTTTTCGGCAATCGACCGGTCTCAATTCCACTGTCCAATAGTATCCTTAAAAAACATGCTAAATAATTAGCATAAATGATCACTTTTTGACATTTAATTGCAAAAGTAATCAAGTGTCGTATGTCATCATTTTGTGATTGTTATGTTATCGTTTTGCAATCAAATATCAAACAGTGATTATTTCTACTAATTGCAATAAAGTAATTAGCACGAACTTGAACGCTTACAATATTGAAAAAAGAGAGTATCACTAGACAAATAGTTACTTGTCAATTAAAAGATGGTGAGAAGACAATATTGTTTGTCTTTTATTACAAAATAAAATCATGGGTAGTAATGTAATTTCACACAAACTAAATTTTACTGTTTTTTTTTTTTTGAAACGTCACACACATGTCATTACTTAGTACTACGGTCTAGTGACATTTCTCTTTATTGGTAAGTGAGAGGTCTTAGGTTCAATTATCGTCAAAGACAAATTTGAACCACATTATTGCTAGTCTATTGTGAGACTTAGCCCGCTCCTTCACCACCTTATTGTAGGTAATATCGTTTGATTAAAAAATAAAATAAAAAAGATAATAATAAAACCTCACACACATGTCATTATAACATCTATAATTTAGAAAGAAAGAAAAAAAAAAACTCATGTACAAAAAACTACCTCAACTATGGGATCACGCAGTTTCATACCTCATCTTTTAAATTGACAATGTCATACCGCATCTTATGAATTTGTAACAATGTCATACCTCTGTCAATTTTTCTATTAGTTTTTCTGTTAAGTGCTGACATGGCTTGATTCGTGACCTACTTTCTATTATAAAATTATTAAAAACTAAAAAAAATTATTTAATATTTTTTAAATATTAAAATAATAATAAAAGGCAAAAAAAAACCCTCACTTTTGTCCCTCCCCTCCCCCTCCTCCCTCCTCCCTCCTCTCTCTCTCACTTTCTTCATCTTCTTCCCCCACTGCAAATCCCAACAAAAAAAAAAAAAAAAATCCAATTTGTCCTCCCCCCACACGCGCACTCAATTTCCCCACACCACACCCATACCCACACCCAAACCCCACTCTTGTCCCTCCTGCAACCCAGGAAGAAAAAAAAAAAAAACCCAGATCTCGTCGGTGGAAGATGGTGCACAAAGAAGGTGGAGGATAGGTGTGGAAGAGGATGTGGAGAATGGATGAAAGTGGTGGATTTGGGGTTTGATGGGTTTTCAAAAAAATTTTTTTTTTTTTTCCTTCTTCTTCCGCAGGGGAGTTGATGTTTTTTTTTTTTTTTTTTTTAAAAAAAAATAAAATAAAATTCCTTCCTCCTTTTTTTCCTCTTCTTCTTCTTCCTTCTCCTTCTCCTTCTCCTTCTCCTTCTCCTTCTTCTTCTTCTGCAGGGGGTGTTGATGGGTTTTCAAATTTATTTTTTATTTTTTCTTCCTCTTCTTCTTCTTCCTCCTTCTCCTTCTCCCTTCTTCTTCTTCCGCGCCGATAGGGGGAATTTTTTTTTTCCTTTCTCCTTTTTTTTCCTCTTCTTCTTCTTCTTCTTCCTCCTCCTCCTCCTCCTCCTCCTTCTTGTTCTTCTGTAGGGGGTTGTTGGGTTTTCAAAATTTTTTTTATTTTTTTTTATTTTTTTGGGTTTGCAGTTGGGGGGAAAGAAAATGAAGATGGGGAGAAGAGAGAGGAGGGGGGAGGGGGAGGGGAGGGACAAACTGATGGTTTTTTCTCTCTGCTTTTATTATATTTAATATTAAAAAATATTAAATAATTGTTTTTAGTTTTAATAATTTTTTAATAGAAAGTATGTCCCGAATCAAGCCACATCAGAACTTAACAGAAAAACTAACAAAAAATTGACAGAGGTATGACATTGTCACAAATTGTAAGATGCGGTATAACATTGTCAATTTTAAAAGATAAGGTATGAACTGTCGTGACCCCAATAATTGAGGTAGTTTTTTGTACTTTACCCCTTTTTTTTAATTTTACTTTTATTTATATTTAATATTTAAAAAATATTAAATATTTTTTTAATTTTTAATAATTTTTTATTAATTTTTAATAGAAAGTGGTCCCGTCTATTGCCACGTCAGCATTAACAGAAAGACTACAGAAAAATTGACGGAGGTATGACATTGCAACCTTCATTTTCTCTTTCTCTCACATTTCTCTTTTTTTTCCACATATTTTTTTTTTCATAAAATTTTATATTTACACACATTATATGTGAGCTTCATTTAGCGAAGGTTTTAATAAAACATCTAATATTACAAAAAAAAAAAATATCTCTCTTTTTTTTATTTTTTTATTTAAAAGGGGATCTGCTATGGCGATCATTTCAGAAGTCGGAAAAACTCACAGAGGCATTTC